CTGCCTTCGGCTCAGGTCATGATCTCAGGGCGCTGGGATCAAGCCCCGCATGGGGCTCTCTGCTCAGCAGGGAGCCTGCTTCCTCCTCTGTCTCTGCCTGCCTCTCTGCCTCCTTGTGATGTCTGTCTGTCAAATAAATAAATAAAATCTTTTTTTAAAAAAGAGCAATACCAAAATACAAGATGCCAAGATAAGAACTGAATAACCTTAGATATCTTTTTTTCAAACTGAGTGTTTCATGAAACTTCACAGTTAACAATAGAACATCGGACACCCTGAGAAGTTCTGTAGGAGAAAAAATATTTAATTTAACTGGACGTATATGAAATTTTGTTGGACTAAAGAACTTTTTAAAAATTCTATAAAATATCTCACGACATCTTGTGGGAGGCTGTTGGTCAATGGAGGGACTGAGAGGCAGTCTCATTAATCATTAGAAGCAGGGTCCCTGAAGCCAAACTGCACTGAGTTACTTACTACTTGGGCATGTGAATTAACTTCTCTAGGCCTCAGCTTTCTCATCTATAAAATGGAGGTATTAGAACTTATTTAGTGAGGGAGTTCTAAGGATTAGTTGAGTTATTTAAGTGTTAGTCATTACTGTGAAGCATTCCACTCTTGGAGCATTGCTATAAAGCTGCTAATATTGATAATTGGCCTCCCAATTAATGTTCAGAGAATCAATACCATTGTGAAATTAAAAAAAAAAAATTCAGGGGCGCCCAGGTGGCTCAGTGAGTTATGTGTCTGCCTTTGGCTCAGGTCATGATCCCAGGGTCCTGGGATTGAGCCCCACATCAGGCTCCTGGCTCAGCGGTGAGTCTGCTTCTCTCTTTGACACCACCCTCCACTCATGTTCTCTCACTCACTTGCTCACTTTCTGTCTCAAATAAATAATAAAATCTTTAAAAAAATAATTTAACTACTGCACTGCCATTGAATGTGCCACATGGTTATCCATGTAGGAAGAAATTGCGCTACTGAAAATAAATGCATGTGATTCTATACCACCGGCCCTTGAGTCTTTTGTCGTGAAAAGAACTATTTATTTCACTCCTCATGGCATCTTTATCTCTGTGGTAGGTCTCAGTCTTTGACAGACATGTGGATTCTTGCCAGCTCAGCTATTTGAAAGGCACTCCCAGGTGCATTTTGCATGTGCTGTTTCACGTGTATCCTGAGCATCTCTAAGTGTGCCAGAAATCTTCCACACTGTTGTGTTGTCACAGAGTGACAAACAAGAAGCTGATTTTATTTTTATTAATTTCATTCTAAGAGCCCTTCCAGAAATAGTTCATTTTTAGAGCTGCATTTTAAGTATTCCTTAATTGGCTGTGTTCAACTCTTTCCTTTGACTAAGATATCAATCTATATTATATTTCAGTGTGTGTTACTCAAAACATATGCTTTTTAAAAAATGATGCCTTTTGGTGATGCTGTGAGAATTTTTTGAAGATTTTGTTTTTTAGAGAGAGAGTGCGGGGAGGGGGAGGGGTCGAGGGAGAAGGAGAAGATCTCAAGCAGACTCTGCACTGAGCACAGAGCCCAATGCAGGGCCTGATCCTACGACCCTGAGATCATGACCTGTGCCAGAATTGGGAGTCAGATGCTTAACGACTGAGCACACAGGCGCCCCGAGAATTTTTTGTTGTTGTGTCTTTTCTGGTGCTCAGTAGTTAATGATCTGTCCAAAGCTGCCTTTGCTTAAAGACAAAAGAATGACTTAGAAACATTTTTGTCATCTTTTTAAATAGTTTAGCTCGGTTTGGCAAGGCTGCTGGGCAGAGAGGGGAAAATTCACATCTGAAATGTTCAAGGAAAAATTTCTGTTTAAGTGAAAGTATTGAAAAATAAAATAAAAATGGATTTCTTCTGATCAGACTAGTGTTTTACTAGGCATGTTTAACTAAATAATAATAATAATAATAATAATAATGAGAATCTGGTATTAAAAGGCACTGGTGATTGTTTCACTCTTTTTTCTTACCTGATGAAAGTGTGTAGGGGGCAAAGGATTCTCCAGAAGGATCTTTGAACTAGCTGAAAAGAGGCATTAAACAATTATAGAGATTTAGGTGAATTCATCCCAGCCCAGATGCTGTCCTCCAAAGGCTCAGAAATTTCCTTTGGTTGGTGTACAGAGAACAGATTAGATATAGGTTCAAACACAACCAAACACAGAGTGTTCCATTAGCAGGGCCCAGGCATCCACTCCTCAGAAAGAGAGCTCTATGGCAAGCCAATTTACAATCAGAGGTGTCCAGGAGGAAGTGAAATTCAATGAAGAGGAAATGGAAATGGTTGTATGATTTGCGTGATTAATGTCATGAAATTTGCTAGACGGAGGCCCTATCACTCAAGTTGGACCATGCATGACAGGGAATAAATGTGTTACCTTCGTTTTGAGGCCCAAGTGCTTTCCTTTCGGTCAGCGCCTGGATGGACAACATGGGCATCTAGCTCCTTAGATCTCCTTTGTCTGTGCCCAGGTTCACCGTCTCCTCTTCCTCACCCCATCTTTCTCCAGAAGGACTATTATCGGTTAGATTCCCTGTTACTAAATTAAAATCACAGTTCAGTCCTACCTCCTGGAGGAAACATCCTCATTTTCTAGATACAGTTTTAGCTCCTTCTAATCTCCTTGGCCACTCATATATAAATCCATTCTGTTCAGTCTTGGTACAGATGAGTAAAAATCTATTAGGGCTAATTTTGTTAATGAAACTCTCCCAGGGCCATTTCCTTTCCTTTATATCTTTGTATGATTTCCCATCTTCTCTGTCACTTTCAGAGGCTACCTTGCGGTGTTAATGCCCTCCCTCCTTTTATTCTCCAACGATTTGCATTTACAATCCATGGCAAGGATAGCCATAAGCTTCGACTCAAACATTTGGTGGCTCCTGTCCCCTTGAATAACTTCTAATTACAATTCTACAGAATATTCACACAGGGCATTCAAAATCTGACATTTCAAATATAAAATACATTCTAGGGGTGTCTGGGTGGCTCAGTGGGTTAAAGCCTCTGCCTTCAGCTCAGGTCATGATCTCAGGGTCCTGAGATTGAGCCCCACATCGGGCTCTCTGCTCAGCAGGGAGCCTGCTCCCCCACATCCCCCCTCCCCCACCTGCCTCTCTATTTGTGATGTCTGTCTGTCAAATAAATAAATAAAATCTTTTAAAAAATACATTCTAAGTGAACCTATCTGTAATGGTAGCATTTTCATCCATGAGTTACCAAGTGGCTTTTCCATTTCAGTGAGACCAGATGAACAACGAAAGGGGTGGAAAAACCAGTTGTGTTCTTCATCTGAGGAGACCACAGTTGCCGATGATGTGAAAACCAAACCATTAACCTTTCTGAAGACCCCCTTTGCTCTAACCTTGTTGCTTCCTATTCACGTCAACTTGGGACTCTCTGATCTCTGTTGCTTCTAGGATTTTGAAGATGGAGGAAAGGCCTGGAGTCCATCTGGAAAGTCTGTATAGACCAGGGCAGTTTTCTCAGAGGGGGCTAGCTCTCGACGTATCAGAAGAATTTCAGTTCTGAGTTATTTCAGCCAAGTTATGGTTTGGTGTACAACATATAGAACAAACACCTAGGGACTTTGGAAAGTTAGGCTTTGGACAAGACCCTGTCCTTTCTGATCTCTTGAGATTTTGATGTCAGCCTAGCCTTGTGGTGACTGGGAGGCCCCAAAGCAGCCTTTGGGTATCTAGTTATGCTTGGAAACCTGGCTATAATCAAGCAAACCAAGTGTAACTTGCACATAGACTCTAATTCATAGACCTGGGAGGACGACTGAGGGACACTGTCAGGGGAGGAGGCTGTAGGCCTAGAATCTTCATTCTTACGGGAAGGTACAGAGAGACTCTGTCTACCAAGCTAGTAAAAGAATGTGCTCAAGAGTTAGGGTGAGGGACAAGGCCCAGTGAGCTTCTTATGTTGGTAAGGGGAAGTTTTGGAACAGCTATTTTGTGGTATGTAATAGATACCTTGAATAATTCACATACATGTACATCATGAGATATAAATAGTCATCCTGACAGTAAAACATTATCCAATATGGTTCAAGTTCCTGTGTTCTCTTTGATTTTACCTCTGAATTCCCCTTGAAATACCTTGTATCGATACTACAAATGTATATATTCCTAAATTAGACATAATGTTGTTACAGTTTTTTTCTTTCATATATATGCTGTCATTCTGCATGAAGTCTTCTGTAACTTGATTTTTTTTTTTCATTCATTGCTATGGTTGTAGGAAACATTCCAAGGGATACATGTAGCACTGATTCATATTTGTTTTGCCAGCAGTGCTTTTCATGCAGTCATCCCAGCTGTGGGGAGGAAGGGAAGCAATAGGGGGGGAGGCAGTTAAGGAACAGTCCAGACTATGCACTTGGTGTCCCACAGTGGCGACTCAGTTCACCCATGGGTCAGCTGGAAGGGTGGTAGTAGGACCTAGCTAGTAAAGGAAACTAATTATAAGGCAGAAAAGCTAAATTTGCACAGAGAACCTGGAATCAACTAAATATAAATAATATTTCATGGTAATAAGCCATAAAATAAAAAATAATTTATTAAATAAATTATTTAATAATTGCCTGCTTATGATTAACATTTTTTTGAGTTAAGTATATCACTATTTCAAACAGTAGACACTGTGTGCGCTCTTCAGGAAATGGCCTAATTAATTTTCCTACCTAGTTTTTCTCTCCTTTGCCTTCTCTGTCTTCCCTGGGTTTTCTGGATTCTGCCCCAGCAGATATGATTCCTGCTCTGAGCCATTCTGAAGGATTGGCTTTTGTCACCATCGGTGAAACTTAGCTGGCCCCTGACCGGACACCATAGCAAAGGCTTTGGTGATCTTTCTCGGTTAGAACAATAAAGATTTTCTTGGAATGTAATCCCAGTGGTATCTCTTTTCTGTGTAGCCCAGAAGATTACCTAATTACCATCAGAACTGTGGATATCAATTTTCCTGGACGATTTGACCACTGCTATTCAGAGCTGCTGTTGGAATACCATGTCTAAGAACTCGGAGTTTATCAATCTGTCATTTCTGTTAGACCATGAGAAGGAAATGATCCTGGGAGTCTTAAAGAGAGATGAATACTTGAAAAAAGTGGAGGACAAGAGAATAAGGTAATATATTTTTTTAAATTTTTTCTGCTTTTCTTGACTACTGTCTCTTTGAAGCAGGTTAGATCAGAAATTGGGCAGCTGTGACCATGCTGGAAACAAATGTTGGTCAGTGACATTTTGGGTCCCCAGCAGTAGCCCACATATCAAGGAATGTCTTTGATATTTTATCATTAGCTAGATGGGAGGATGGAATCGAGTAGATGATATGGTGCTGATGAGAATGCCGTTTGCTAATAATATCCTAAACGGTAGTGAAGTGGAAGGCCTGCCCGTGTTTGAATACCAGCTCTGAGATGTATTGTGTGACCTTGTTCGAGTGACTCAGTTTCTCCATGCCTTAGTTCCCTCATCCCTAAAACAAGGATAATAAAATTGCCCACCTCATAGTGTTGTTGCGAGGATTAAGGGAGACAATACACGTGCAGTGCCTGGTATGTAAGTTCACAATTATTTATTTATAATGCCTTTCTCAGGTCAGTCTTTCTGAGAATTCCTTCCTACCATACCTGAGAGAAGAAGGGGATCTGGAGAGAGGAAAACTCATTTTACACCATACATTACCTGAATTTTTAAAAAATAAGTCTCTGTATGAGTAATGTTGAGTAGAATGGGCCCAGTTGAGTTTCCCATCCGTTGTAGGCAAGGATCCCCATGCATGACCTCACCTGTGTTTCAGCTCACAGCCATTCTGATTGGTTGCACCACCTCTTCCGAACGGTTCCAGCACTGTTCTGATTGGTTGTCACACCCATTGGGATGGGTTGCTGCTTGTGCTGGGTTGCTTGTTAAATATATTTGCCTATTCCATCTCACCCCTGACTAGAGGAGCAGAAATAAATAGAGTTCCCTTCTCAGTGACTACCAGCTGTGCAGCTTCTGTGTCTTAAGTGTCTCCCAAAACTGTGATCATTTTGACCACAATGCTGTGAAACTGGAAGTCAACCATAAGGAAAATTCCACAAACATAAGGAAACATAAGGAAAAGACCATTTCCACAAACATAAAGAAAAGACCACAAAAAGCTTAAGTTTATTGTATTTCATTTTTTATTGAGGAGAAAACTTGTCATACGGTTATCTTCTTATGTTGCAAAGATATTCAGGGTGCTTAAAGGAACTAGGATCCTAGAATTGGAAATACATTGAAATATTCTCGATTGACGCTTATTTCATAGTTAAGAGCCCAGAATTTTTATTTCCATCCTTCATAAGAATTCAAGCAATCTTACAGGAATAAAGGCTTGGATGAAAATTATTGCAGTTTTTCTAGGCCTGGAATTCAGGTGAAGGCAGTTAATGATTTTTAAAGATATCAGAAATGGTGTTTTTTTGGCATTTGTATTCCAGTCACGAAAAGTGACTAAATTTTCTAATGTGCTGCAAAAAGTTATATTGTTTATGGGAGGTGAGGTACTAGCTGGTAACTGATGACATGCCCCGGGGAATTAAAAATCACTCTACTCAGGAGAACACAATTTAATAGCCACAGCCTCAGAAACGCCAAAGTACAATGAATAGGAATTTCTTCAGAATGTTTGCTTCTGTCATTCCCAATAACTTTCCCTAATAATCTGTTATACTCTTTTCCCCCTTTTCTGTTTCTTCCCTTGTCCTTTTCTCTTATTCTCCATAAAGAAATTTAGCGGGCTGTGTAACATACAACAGAGCTATTGCGAATGAAGTTGTTGATTTCCTGGTTCTTCAAACTTATTTGAGGAAAGCAAAAGAAAGGCTCTGGTAGACCCAAGTGATACCTTTATAGAGAATAGATTTTTTTAAAGCTGCTGTATCTTCTTCTCATCTTTAATAAAAATAGTGGCTAATATTTTATTGAGGTTTTTTTTTTCCCCCTGCACCAACTGTATTAAATATGTTGTCTCTTTTTGTTCTCAGCTACCAACATATGAGCCCAGGCCAGATGACTTAGGTTCTGTCACTCTTAACAGTTTTGTATATTGAAAAGCCACACCGAAGTGAGTGGCGTGGTGTTTCTGGTACATGCTGTTGAATCACAAGCCACATTTGTTGATTCACATCTCAGTCACACCGTGAAGTCTTTGTGTCAGTTTAGATAGGTTGTTTCCATGGATAAATCTAGTTCCCTCATTTGACAAAACAGAAATAATAGCATTAGGCACCTCATAAGATTGTTGTAGGGATTAAATAAGCTAATATTATCAAGGGCTTAGAAGAATGCTGGCATACAGCAAGTACTTAATAATTGCTGGCTAGAATCATCGGCCCTATTGTTGATATGTGTTGTAGTGAACACTAGCAGTGCTCTACTGAGCTCCACTCAGGTCCCTTGTGGTCTGTGCTCTCATCTCCCAGTTTCCACATGTTTACTGCTAAGGATGGTGTCTAGTACCATCTTTAGAGGACTACCCTTGGGGGACAAGCATTGGCGGTAGGGCTAGAGAGCCACAAGTACCAGGCAAACTTGAGTTTCTGTCCCTGCTGGGCAGCCCCAAACCAACGGCTGACAGCCTTTGCCGTGGAGCTTCTGCCTCACAGTTTTGGGTGGAATCATGCTGAGATGGGACTTCCCCTAAAGACCACACCCTCACTTATCCCCTCCCCCCTTTTCTGTCCTGCCTCCACCCTTCCCTTCTGTGTTCCTCCTAAGGGTACTTACTCCATAAGTCGCTTGCACACAAATCTACATCCCAGAGTTAGCTTTTGGAAAAGCCAACCAAGAAGTTTGCCAGACCAAACAGGGATCTTAGTTACTGTTGTGGTGATTGTTTTTACCGTGTTATAGAAGTGTAGGTTGATATTTTGTCAGTGTCCAGAGGAAGTGCAATTAATTATGAATAAGAAACTGAAGGAATGGTTTTCACAGAAGAGCTAATGCTTGAGCTTGGCCTTGAAATGTGAAAAAGATTTGACATTAGCAATTACCTGTCAACTGTGTTTTAGCTGTTTACCATGAACCACAAAACTGCCTTCAGAGTCTGCTAATGAGTTTCAGAAGGAAATGGAAGACCAAGAAAAGTTTTAAGAATTAGGATGATTACAGAGAAGTAAGTGATATGGAAAGTAAGTCAACAAGACTTTGGAAAGCAGTGAATTTATTGTTTCTTTGTGTGTTTATTCATTGCAGTAGGTTATTCTTAAAATAGAAACATAGAGGAATATCAAAATTGTGTTGAATCAGTGCTTTAGGGCCGATGCCCAACTGTGCACTACAGCCCACGTAGCCCCAAAGTGTGGCATTAATTAAAATGAGATTGGTCTGTGGGTGTTCCTGAAGGTGCTCTGCACCCAGAAGGCACATGGCAAGCCTGATAATTACCTCCAGGCATGAACTATAGTCTGGAAAGAGGTGTCTACCTATAAACAGAGCATTTTAGGTTCACCCCAAAGGCTCCAATATATTTATTTTCCCTCAGACCAAGCAGGAAGAAATGGTAGGAGATACCTAGACCCAGGCTTCAACTATTACAGACTAAGAGTATTTTAAATGTTCTCTGTGAAGAACAAATCATTTTGCTTTAATGATGGCTTTCATGCAGAGAAAAGAGAGAAAGGAGGTGATGCCAATAAAATCGAGCTACCAACAGTGAATGCAAATGGAAAAAAAATAGAGTTTGGAAGCACAAAAATATCTTCGTTGATCATTTTGTACCTTAGATTTTTCTAACTTTGGAAGAGCTCGCCCTAACATAGAAGAGGACATGGTTCATAGTATCTCCTCCTAAAAAAAAAAAAATCTTACTAACAAAATATTACTCTACTTGATCTTCCACGCCTAAAAACAAATGCTGTTAAATGTCTACTTCGTGGTGTTGGCCTGTCTAAGAAATCTTCAGTTTACAATGTTAGCAGTTCATTTGGGCTTTACTCTTACTGAGAAGATGTCATTTCCATTTGGCCACAGTACATGAAAACATATCTGGACTTAATGTTCTCTTTGGCACCTACTCTTGGGCTTGTCTCAGTAATGAACTCTGCTGGTCTCCTCACAGCATACATTTCTCTTTTCTTCCTCCCTACACAAATTTTAATTTTCTACACCTCCAGCAGTAGATTTTTTAAAGAAATTTATTTATTTGACAGAGATCACAAGTAGGCAGAGAGGCAGGCAGAGAGAGAGAGGGAGAAACAGGCTCCCCACTGAGCAGAGAGCCCAGTGCGGGGCTCGATCCCAGGACCCTGGGACCATGACCTGAGCCAAAGGCAGAGGCTTTAACCCACTGAGCCACCCAGGCACCCCCAACAGTGGATTTTTAAAAATTAATTAATCACCCCTTGACTAATAGTCCTATAGCAACCGTCATTGGTTTAGAGGTAGACATAAGGCCAATGGTGACCCACTCAAACATATAGCCCAGGTTTCTGGAAGGTTCTCTTTCCCACTGTACATATTCAGTGAAACATGTTACCGCAGTTGCTGTTGAGGATGAAAGCCAGCACAATGATGAAGCTGAGCCAAAAGAATGGCAGAGAATTGTTGCCAACATCCTGATGTCCTAGAACCTGCCATACCACTGGGCTTCTTCTATAAGCACTATACTATATTTCCATGTTACTTATAGTGATGTCAGTCTGATTTTCTGTTACATGTAGCCCAAGGCATCCTATAATCTGTGATTCAGAAGTAATCAACATTTGCTGAGAACTTCTGTAGGCCAAATGTGTATTTATTATTGGGGTAATAAAGGTGAGCAGAGGGGCGCCTGGGTGGCTCACTTGGTTAAGTGTCTGCCTTCTGATCTCAGGGTCCTGAATGGGTACCTGGGCCCAGCTAAGGATGTGCCCACGGTTACAGCCGCCCCTTCTGAAAGCCAAGCCCAGCAGGTGTAGCTGCCCCCAGCCACTGCCTGAGCCCAAAGCACCTGCTATTCCTGGGAGCTGAGGTCAATATGGCCTGTGAGGACTCTTTCCCAGCGCCTGCCCTCTCCGAGGCTCTGCTGTCTCTCCATTCCTGTCTCTGCAGGGTTGGACCTCCCAGCTTCACACAGCACTCCCCTAGTTACGCACACATGCGTGCACGTACAC